CGCCCCCCCTGAGGCTAGGCGAATGGCACGGTGCTGTATGAGGCTCTTCTCTACGGTTTGTCTCGTTTCACGAGTCCAACTCTCAACCGTAACGCGACCTTTCTGGTTATCTTGTGTCAGGCGCACGGTAGATAATGCGGCACAGAATCTGCCGGTGCGAAAGCGCCCTCCCAGGCGTAGCGCGCCACGCCAACGCACACGCAGAATACGCACGCGCCGTAACGTGCCCCCATTTTTGTCCACTTTAGACAGATAATCTGAGACAAGGGGTCTGAAAAATGCATTACGCGAAAAACTGGGCAATCCACCGAACACTTTCGCGATGGGAACAGCAGTAGGCCGATCATCTAAACGGCCGACCACTAAATCGTTTTTTGGGGTGGCGCGCCTCATGGCTAAGAACTGTAGTGGCTCCTACAAGAAACGCTCAAGTAAATGCTGTCAAATCAGCGATGACAGCGCATCGGCGTCGTTGACGGCAAAACGGACGGATGACTGGCACTACCTGCCGAGTAATAGCGTTTTGTCTATCACAAAGCTTTTTTTACGAAGTGTCGTAAACCGGCGCTCCGACCACGTGGGGGGCGCGGGTCTATCTGCAAATTGCGATGGCCAGCGCGTTTACGCGGCCTGGCTGCAATACGTGACATGTTTTGATCGCAACCTCCACCCTGGCGGAGCCGGATTCCCGGCCCATGCGTCGACGGGCCCTGGCTGCCGGTGGCAAACGCACGTGTGCTCGACCAGCATACGCTGGCGTGGCCGAGCGCGAAATGTTTTTCCCGCAAACGGACAAAGAAAAGGATATTTAGGCGCCTTTTTCATTGGCTGGAATTTGGCAAGATTCAGCCTCCACTGACTTGTAGGCCAAATATCCCCAATTATCATACCAAAAACTTTTCCCGAAACTTTCTGTAAGTGAGGTATAAAGTAGTCTTTTAGTATGTTTTTCTTTAAAACAAACATGGGTTTGAGTGAATTAAGCCACATATCATGCCGTTTGGGTTAGAGAGGGTCTAGCGCTATATTCATTATAGTTAACTTATAAGCTGCCGCGAATTTGCTGTTTATGTTCGTCGGGTGGTCGGATAGTCTATACCGTTAGCGTTATCGACTGGACTCTCAGGGTTAAACACTAGGCTTACTACTAGAATCTAGCTGACCAGTACTAGTAATGAGCTCAGTACTAGCGTCAACGAGTACGAGTACGTATAGCTCTAGTGTACTGATCGTAGCCCTAGTACTACTACTCAGCGCCTAGTGATAGTACCGTCGTAGCGTCTAGTAGTGTGAAAGGGGTCGTTGTCGTACACAGGGTACGGCCGATAGGAGCCCAGGATAGAGAACATGGGGTCCGGGCAATAAATAGGCACATCTCTGCTTAAACCTAACGCCCTAACGCCTAAGCTCTAACTGCCTAAATACCCCATCCTAGACCCTACACCATAACCCTAACCCTAATTATATTGAGTGGTAATTTATATTTTATTTATATTGATGTAAATGACATTGTTTTATTGGGGACGCCATGTTCTCTATCCTTGAACGCCGAGATGTGTACCCGAAGTACATATATGTATACGACAAAGGTGTACCAGACTTTGTACTACAACAGAAGTGTACCCTAACCGCTAAACACTAACCCTAACCCTAACCCTAACGTCTAGACCGCTAAACCCTAACCCTACAACATACCAAATCATATAAAAATATAACATATAATCTTATATAATATAATAAGAAAATCGAAGCAACCAATCAGAAGGCGCTATATTCCTTTTGCTATGTTATACCGTTTGGAAACAAAAATATTGCACTGGCCGGCGAATGACTGCGAGCTACCAGTGGTGGGTGGCAGTGGCGCGTGCGCAGTCTTTTAAACGTGAGCTAATCTGTAGATACTGCTGGCAAAGCACGATCCCCCGCAGCAACAAATGTCGCCCCTTGCCGCGCAGCGCGCCAAACAATTAAGGCAAGCCAGCGCTCATAAGGAGTCTATGTCCCCCATGGTACTTGCCCCAGGAACGTACCGTGGGTACGGTCCGGGTACATAGGTCCGGAACGCTACTGTGGTCACTATTTTGATATGGTTAGGGTTAGGATTAGGGTTAGTGTTCGGTTCAGGTAGGGAGTTAGGCGTAGCGGCGACTCCTAGACTCGTTAGTGAGTAGGCGAAGGTACGGTCGCGGCATATTAGGAGTATGCAGGGTACGTTCCGGTAATACCGAACGTACCAGGGTAAACGTTCCGGCACTACAGGGGGAGCATTAGACCTCCTCAGCGCAAGCAGACACAAGCAAATGCCGCCGTAGCCAGAGACCGGTGTCAAGGTGTGACGAAAAACTGCGCGATGTTACGCTTCCCGCTTACGGATTCGCCGCGCCCGGCCCCGTTCTTTCGGGCGCGCGCGAATTCGTAATAAGCGGGCAGCGCGAAATACTACATACAACAGCAACCACGCGGTCCGCGTGCGCGACCAGTCCGCGGAAGTGCGCGTTTAACGCGCTCTTGGCGTCGGGAACACACGCATCTTTTGCGCAAACGCCATCTTGTACCCGGTCTCTCTGGACAAACATTGGAGAAACCGCCCCTATAGCTACAGCGTTCTCCCGCAGGATGAAATTCAAACAGGGGGGAGGGAGGGGTAGGGGGAGGGGGAAGGGAGGGGTAGGGGGAGGGGGGAAGGGGGGGAATACTAGGGGGTTCGGGGGGGCGTGTATTTTTACCCGTCGACTAATTAATGCGTAAATCCGCCAACCAACACCGAATAGACGGATAATTTGGGGTTCTTGTATATATAAGATAGCCGAGTCGGTGTACAGTTAGTGGCAGGTTAACTGTGCATTGGCATGTTAACTTGTGTACTGTCTGCAGTGCATGCGTGGTACGGTAAAAATACACGCGTCGGGTGTCCTGGTCGAACGGGAATTCTTGACGGTCGATTGCCGCGCTGGCAAACTTTTATTGTGGTGGAATTTAAACGGGGCAGAGGTAATTCAAACGGGGCGCAACGATTCAAACAGGGGGGAGTTTTCCCAAACGGGGCGCGCGCGCCCCGTTTGCGCAACGTAGGGAGAACCCTGACTACGAGTATAGAGAATCTATACAAGCCAACAACCCTTAACACCGTGACATGGAAAATTGTCGAGACCTGACAGTAGAGGTTCTCTGAGGAGACCTAGAGTCAGAAGAAAATCTATGTAAATCTATGTAAATCAACATGGCGGTGTTATAGTAAATACTAAAATAGTGCGATCTGGGAAATAGTTAGCCGACGTCATCGATCGTATTTTTTCAGCAAATGTCCAAAGACAATTTGGCAACCCATGAATCTTCAAAATAAGCACATGCATTATTGTTACGCTGAGGCTATATGCCCGGCAGCCGGGCACGGTCTTCGATTTCTGAAACGCCTGGCAGTTCCTAACCCTAACCCTAACCCTTGTTTACTTGAGATAATGCTGAAAATTAAAAACTGCCAGGCATTTAGGAAATCGAAGACCGTGCCCGGCAGCCGTCAGATATTTTCTAAGTGTCGATTGCGAGTTCGTTCGCTCAGTAATCCGAAGTTAGGAGAATTGGGCTAGTTCGCATATACAGCTCTAACGAAAATCGCTTGACATTAATTCTAAACAAATGTAGAATACTTTGGATCGCGTAGTACACTGTTTACTTGAGAAATCACTGAAAATTAAAAACTACCGGGCATTTAGGAAATCGAAGCCCATGCCCGGCTGCCGGGCATATATAGCCACTCTGTTATTGTTAATATCTTTAGTTTTAAACTTCAGACTGCGGACTCCCCCATTTTGCTGCGGACTCCCTCTTTTTGAGGGCAGGGAGTCCGTTGGACTCCCTTGTTCAAAAGTTAATTTCTACCCCTGAATTAGTAATCATTATTAATAATTAAAAATGAATTGGGGACAGCTCTTATATCCTTGAACCATAATATTGTGTTTGTAGAGCGTGTTCCGCTCTTCTAGACGATCGATACTTTCCCGTTATGTTCAGTATGAGTTGATCAGGCAGCCTGATGGTTCGTACATCGAGATTCGGCAAATTGGCATTGACGACGACGAGATGTCTGGCATTGCGGGACCGAGCTGTGAAGCTGAGCTGGTGCCATTGGAGACGATGGTGCCATCTGAATTACCATTGGTCCTTGATGAGTCGGGAGAGTCGGAATTGGATGAGGTATCCCAGGTGGACAGCCAGTCAGAGGAGCAGCAGATTACAGAGAAATACTTGAAAGGTAATTAGTGTAGCTGCAACAAGATATACCAGCAATAAGGCTAATTAGTCTAATTAGGCAATTAAGCTGTCAGTTGTAGGATCAACTCGCAAGTGGTCCTGTAAAGTTATAACTTATAAGGTCAAGAGTTGATTAATCCCAGATTATCACAGAGAATTAATAAGGCAATCCAATTACATTTATCATTATCAGATAACTTATGTCATTGTGTATAGGCAGTGTGTTAATCTCCCGCCAGAGACCCTACCCGTCTTTTGGACGGCCTATTCTTGGATGAGACGGATGAAATTTGATAGAGATGGCATGAGGGCGGCCCAATTTTACCCCTGCATGAAAATAAAATCATCGGTTTTTCCCACACCCTCCTGCTAGGGCGCTTCGCGCCCGCAGCATCCTAGCTTCACTCAGATGGTGAGACTCCCTTATTTTTTTCCTGGCTAATACCCTGTGTATATGTCATTCAGACCATTTGCACTTTTATCCTAATGAGAGGAATTGTGTATTTAACCAAGGTTCGAAACTGTAGTCTGACTGTAGACTTTAGACTGTAGACTGTAGTCAGTGATGGTAGTCAAACTGTAGTCTGTTAGTCTGTTGGTCCGTTCAGTTTTTGACTAAGATGGGTGAATAAACTGGTAATTTGAGAGATTTCTCTATGCTGCAACTTGTTATAACTTCATTTTAAATGAAATAAATGTAAAAAACTAAAAACCTGGTAGTCCATATGACTACCAGACAAAGAAGGTTTATTTTGCACCCTATATAACTATCTTCATCTAAAAACGTGACTTGAATGCAATCTTGCCTCATCTTATTATAGAAAATCGGCTATAGTGCAGTGCTCAAAATAAGCGTTGTCCGGTTGTCTGAGACAACCAGAATTTGCGCCGGACAACCTAACCAGTCTGAGACATTGTCCGGTGGACAACCAAGAAAAATGTGACCAAAAACGCACTTTATTTATATTTTTCTGACCACGAATTGAATTTATTTCGGCTGTCGATCGGCCTGTATTGCGTCCATAGCTAGTGTTGTTTCACGGCTTCTCATTGGTCTCTCCATAACCGTCCTGATTCATGCAAAGTATTAAGTTTACAGGTTGAAATAAAATAAATTTAAAGATATCGCTCCTACAATATGTTTTTGGGTGTTTTCTGACTATTATTATTATGTGATTGAAAATAGGAGATTTGGGGACATTTTTTGGGACAAACAGAAATTGTTGCAGACAACCTGATTTGATGTTTTTTCTTATTGCAAGCACTGTAGTGTTATTCTGGAAATCTGACAAATAGGACAGGGTATATGCTTCTGGTATGGAAATGGATAAAGTCACAAACTAGTGCATTTTCAGGTGAGATTAGCTTCACAGAGTTTATGGACCTTAGTGAACAACTGCACGAACCAACAGAGCAATCAGATGTTGATGGGAAGATGCATGCAGGCACAATCAAGCAGCCAGGGTGTGAGTATAACTCGGTTGTGATCATATAGCATAACTATCCACTTTTGTCACTATAACAAAATGTGATTTAAGCAGTTTTATTTCCATCGATAGGGAAATCCTATCTGGTAGGAGTAAGTGAAATCAAGTTAATTCATGTGCAAAATGTGTATGCCGTAATATTTATGTGTGCGTGCGTGCGTGCGTGCGTGCGTGCGTGCGAGCATGTGCGTGTACACGTGGGTGAGTTTGTGTATATATATATCAGGAGTAGATAATAGGGAGGAGTGTGACATCAATAAACAAGGGAAATTCGTCATTTACTAGCCTTATACATGTTATAATGCCTACGATTTACTACGCGTAACTCATCCAACTTGAGCTCAAATCGGACACAGTACATTCGCCAATCATCGTGCGAAATCGTTTCCTCGTAGACACCCGCAATCCGGAGATACAGCCTAAAACGTACGACACGATTCTCCATTCTTTGGCCATCAATCCAGCCCATTGCGCGCCTATAATTCAGACAAAAGGCAGCAACACTACCGCGCAGTCGCTGTGTTTGCTCTCTCGGATAGCTGAATGTGGCGTTGTGGCTCGTGGGGAGATTAGGCATCAACACTCGGCGAGATAACCTTTGACCCGGTACACAGCTACACAGGCCACCTTTGTACATAGCTGGCATGCCTTCACGCACGCACGCCAACCGCATGATTAGCTCGTCGAGTGTTGCGTCGAACTCCAATCTCCCCGCGAGCCACAACGCCACATTCAGCTATCCGAGAGAGCAAACACAGCGACTGCGCGGCAGTGTTGCTGCCTTTTGTCTGAATTATAGGCGCGCAATGGGCTGGATTGATGGCCAAAGAATGGAGAATCGTGTCGTACGTTTTAGGCTGTATCTCCGGATTGCGGGTGTCTACGAGGAAACGATTTCGCACGATGATTGGCGAATGTACTGTGTCCGATTTGAGCTCAAGTTGGATGAGTTACGCGTAGTAAATCGTAGGTATTATAAGGCTAGTAAATGACGAATTTCTCTTGTTTATTGATGTCACACTCCTCCCTATTATCTACTCCTGATATATATGCATGTGTGTGTATTTCAGCACACATTTATACATATTATTAGGAGTGAACAAAGACAATTGGCTTACAGTATGTGTTTAAGGTAGTGCACCGATAATACTATTATTGCTACAGATCATAAACATGATAAACCATTTGTACCATACAAATTATAATTTATTTAATTACGATATTTAAATATGCAAAAGTATATCTTATATTGACCGAGAATGACATAAATCAAGCTCAAACATTGCTGATCATGTTATGCCTATAACTAATTATAAACATCTCATGATTGCAGTTAAATAACATGCTATACAATACTTGCACACGAAAACAAAGAAACGTCCACTTATACATACATACGTACAAATGCGTGCAGGAGTACACGCACTCACACGTGTGTATATATGGATATATATATATATATATATATAATTTACTCGTATATAAGAAACATTTTTTTGTACCTAAATTCATTATAAAAAGTTGGAATGCGACATATGCACAGGGCTAAGAACCCTGGCGAAAGAGTGGAAGGAACTCTGGCAAGTGTGATGATGAAGAATTTGATGGATTTTAATTATTTAAGTTGTGAATTAATTTCACTTTATTATTACTTGTGCATGCACTTTACTAGTGTTCCATAATTATGTTCATAATTTACTTTTGTCCACTACTCAAAGTGAGACGAATATTCAATACCGCTTGGAGGGGGGGGGCGACTTATACATAAGTAAGACTTACACACGAGTAAATACGATAGCATTTTCCAGTACCGCAAGCATTAAAATAAACTTTGCTTATTCAGTCAAGTTGTGAAGAAGCAGTCATAATCAAACTATCTGTTACTTATCGTTGCTATAGGCGCATGTTGACTGCTAGGCTTACATATATATGTTTCTGCTGTCCAGCAAAGTTGACTGATCACTCATTAAATAAGTTCATTCGGTTGGTAGACACTGGTAGACTAATAGATCTAACTGGGTTAATTGTTACTCAACCGTGAAGATTGGAAACGTACAGCTTACGTTTTTCCTCCTGCCAGGAGGCTTTCTCAGCTAACTGATGATTATCAGTTTTGACCACCAGATGGTGTGGCGGTCAATAGCTTAGTCCACACGTGACTTCGCCATCAAAATCAGGCGATGGATTAAGGAGGCCATCTGGATCCGCAAGACCCCGAACATCAACCGTGACAAGGGGGGATACAGGCTCAGTCACGTGTAGACTAAGCAATTAACCACTACACCATCTGGTGGTCAAAACTGATCATCAGTCAGCTTTGAGAAAGCCTCCTGATAGGAGGCGAAACGTCAGCTGTACGTTTTCCAATCTTCACGGTTGAGCAACAATTAACCCTGTTAGATCCATATGATCAAGAGCATATAAAGAAGGATATATATATATCTTTATATGCTCTTGATATGATCACTCCTCAGAAATTATGGAGACTGAAGTCATGTGGATTCTCTATTAATAATTAGTGATTCACTGTTGGGGGAAATTTTATATATGAATAAAAGGAAACTGAAGTGCACATACTATAGTGCGCACACCTTGCCATGTAATACACCATTTTACATTCGGTACTGTAGTCATACATTTAACAACTGGAAATATTATAACACTCCCAGGTTATGGATACTCACAGGGCCAGTATCATAATATTCAAATATATATCTGTAATGCAATGTAAATAACATTGGTAGTATGTGTAGCTGTAAACAATCAACATAAAGTAATATTACAAAAACAAAATTTAAGCAATTATAAGGATGCAGTTAACCTAGGTAATGTAATAATTTACAGTGATTTGAGGTTATGTAATGATACAGTACATTTAGGTAATGTAGGAATACAGTAATTAAGTTTAGGTATTGTAAGGATACAGTAAACAGACAACAGATGATTTATTGTTAAAATCAATGACGTGTTAGTTCGAAATGGTTTTAATTTAAATGAATTTGCTTATTAGCAAATATATCCATTTAATACATTTAGATAGTAGTAATCTAAAGTAAATTGCGATGGTATTCATGGCAACGCATCAAGATAAGCAGCAAGCAAGAAGAGAAATATGAAAACATGCAAGAAACAGTAAATTCATATCTTAAAACGTATTAACTGTAAATCTTGTGTTATTTAAAACTCCTGTTTATGCCATCCAATATTAGGGAGCTGCACCAAATAGATAAAAACACACATATATATATATATATATAGTTATTTATATAGTTATATAGTTATATAGTTATATAATTAATTGCATATTGAACTTGTGTTCATTTTCAAGCGAATAACTATTTGCTCTTTAAGCTTGTTGGGAGTAAGAAGTGCTCCAGTACAACGCGATTGGTTAACATCTGTCAGCTTTTTACATCTGCAACATTGTAATATCACACTGTATTTCAATCTCAAGAATTGTGTGTTCTGTGATTCTTACGTTTAGAGCCCAACATCACAAGTGCCGTTGCAATCCGGTGTGATTGGTTTCGAGTTGCTTGGCAGGTGTTCTAATTCGACTGTGCAACATTGCATGCCCCGTGCAAATATCACGGAAAAACTTTCCCTGCCAGAAAAGAACATCGAGAGGTACGCGCGTGTCGTGGCGGAACGTCGGCTGGTGTGAGTTGTCGTCGTTGAGTTGCTGTTGCGTGGGCCGGTAGCCTCAGCTGAAGTTATTGATGGCACGACCGGGGATCGGGGGCAGTGGGCTGAGGCGCGACTCGCGAGGCGGCGGCGGGCTCGAGCGACGAGGCGGCGGCGGGCTCGAGCGACGAGGCGTCGAGGCCAGAGGCGGCAGCCGGTCGAGGCGCGTCTCTGAGTTGATCTTGACCGGCTTCACCTCGCCGTTCTTTTTCTTCAGCCAGCAGATGGCGATGCCGATGATCGCCAGCAGCAGCAGCGAGCCGAGCACGATGATGGCAATGTACTCGGGCGAGAGCGTCGCCGCGGCAACCTGCACGGTCGCCGCCGTCGACGGCGCCGCGAAGCATCGCGCCGTCTCGTAGCCGGCGGTCGTGCGCAGCATGTAGGTACCCGCGACGCGCACGCCCTGCCCGTGCAGGTCGTCGCAGCTCGCCGCCGGTAGCGTCGCGAGCACGTCGTAGACACTCCACGCTCCGTCGCCGCCGCCGCACGCCTGCGCCGCGTCGCCGGGGCACGCCGCGTCGCACGCCGACAGCTGCGCCGCCGCCGCGCGCCGCCGCCTCCGCAGCAGCAGGAAGCCTGCACCAAGGAAAGCCGGGTCGATCGGCACCGCGGTCGTCGTCGTCGTCGTTGTTGTTGTCGTCGTCGTCGTCGTCGTCTTCTTCGCGGCGGTCGTCGCCGTGACGACCGGCATCGTCTTTTCCATGTTGTTGTCGGCGGTGACGTTAAGCTCGGCGTAGCAGCGGCAGGCGGCCACGCTGACGGCGGCGAGATCCTCTCCCGCGCCGCGACACAGCTCGACGCACGTCTGCACCGTCATGGCGGCGGCGTCGTCGAATTGCGCGATGGCGCCACCGTCGTCGAGCTCTGCCTCGCACGTCTCGCCACCGCCGCGCATCTCGCAGATGTAGCCAAGCTGCTGCGTGCACGCGATGGGCAGCCAGCCGAACGACTGCGTCAGCGCGACGCAGGCCGGCGCGCCCGCCTCGGGAGTCTCGACCCAGTCCGTGAGGAGGAGCAGGCTACCGTCAAGCCACTTCCACGTGCCGGCGTCGTCCATGTCGTAGAGGCCGATGTGGTAGCTGTGCTCGGCTAGCGCGCTGCCGTTCTCCGCGAGCGCTGTGTCCTCGCGCACCGTGTCCCCGATGAAGGTCACCTTGGAGGCGACGGACAGCGAGAGCAGGTTGGCGTCGAGCTGGCGGCACGCGTCCTTCGCGGCGCTCCAGTCGGTCGGCGCGGTGACGAACAGGAGGCAGTAGTCATAGGTGGTCGTCGACGCGCCGTACCAGTCAACGGGGCAGGCGAGCTTTGCGGGGGTGACGCCAAGCAGCCAGATTGCGGCCGCAAACAACAACATGTCTCCGGAAGTCTATAGTGTCGGGTCGTATTATTCGTCGGGTCGTCGACGATTTATGGAATTGGGTTCTCGGCGACTAATTTTAATCGCTGCTGGGTTGAGTTTCTAGGCTGTGGAGGCCTCTGACTGCCTTCGGTAATTTTCCAGTTTTCCCTCGTTTGCCTGTATGTATGGTGCTTGTACACAGAGATGCTCGCTCCCGCTCTCGCCTTCTTTCTGTTACTTTTAGTTGGTGCTGTTTGCGTCAGCGTGCGTGTGGGAGAGTGGCTGGAAAAGAAATGGCATTTAGAGAGGGTGGCTCCTTTGTTATCGTAACTAAGTTATAAAAAATTCATCTCTGTCAACAAACAGAGGCAATGATGCGTGATAGGGTGGGATTAGCTATATTTTTCAGGAGGAAATATTTAGGGGGTGGGTGGTAACATAGATTAGTTGTGCCGTATCTGACACGTATCTGACAACCGTTTATGCTCAGATAATGTTCATATTTATTATGCTGATAAAACTTTTTATCAACATATATACTCTGTATTGCTTGATGAATCACGCAACACCGCTTGCAAGCACCGTGTTTGACTGGTTCCAGTTGTTGGTATTACCCGATCAATTGCCAGAGCACTTATTGTTTGTCGCCGTGATGGAATGTATGGTCAAATGCTGATGCCAGGCAACTGGATTGATTGCAACCTTTCTATGCCCGCGTAGAACTGCGTTACTAATTATGTCGCCTTCCCAGCAATCAATCTCGCGTGCAAGACTTTGTGCTGGAAATGTAAGTCGACTGGTACTGCTAATACTAATAGTAACCAACCACTTTTACTGGTTCTAGCTCACGTCATCTCCCATTCATAGTTGCGGACATGAAACCACATACACCCTATGTCATCTCTGTGAACGACGTTAGACTTGCTGAGTTGTGTTAAATAGACCTGAGTGAAAACCACATCGGGCCATTCTTAAAAAATTCTATGTTTGCTGTCCCCCGACCCATGATTTTTTTAGTGGGTAGGTAGGTAGGTCTTTTTTTGTGAGGCATAATAGTTATTTTAAGTCTGTCCTCATGTTTGCCACACATGTTTTGTGCTTCAGTCTTAACTATGAAAAATTAAAAAAAAAAAACATATAAAAGGACAGCAAACATATAATTTTTTAAGGATGGCCTCAGTGAGGTGGTTTCAATTTGGTTCACACTCAAGCCGATTGAAATTGACTCACATTCCCACTATATATACGATTACTTTTTAAAGAATTCTTTGTGTTTGTATGATTACTGGCGATGTTGTCAATGTTATAGTGTGATCTATGAGGCAATGTGTCGATCTCCAACCATTTACACTTAAAAGAGTTTGAAAGTTCATGTTGAGATGTGCAAGTCAGTTTGCACGTGGTGGTGTAACTAGGTGTGTGATGTAACCCAATGCATAACTATTGCACTCATCAATAAATGCAATCTGAATTGTCATTTCATGATGCTGATGTCATCCTGTTGCTCTTTACCACGTACGCACGCACGCACGCGCGCGCACGCACGCACGCACGCACACACACACACACACACACACACACAGAGATGATACATGTATAATAGTATTAGTATGGTGCCGTGGGAAATTATATGAATAGCCAGGTGTGCATGCTGCAATGGCTTGTCTACCTGTCCATCTGTAACATTGGTGGTATAGTGTCTGAATACTTCAAAGTTTAGCCCAGTTGTAGAAATACAACTATTGCAACTGATGGTCAATGGTATGTAATGCACATCTATGGGGCATAGCAATCGTGGCAGGACTAATTAAGGAATAAAGCACGTGGGGTGCAATTTTTAGGCAGCATGCACACCACGATCTGTTGCGATAAAAAAAAATCTTGTCCTTAAGGAATGAAACGTTGTGAAACATCGTGGAATATTGTCAATCTATTGCAGTTGAGCAAGTTATTCAAGTAGAACTGATGCTGGACAAGGAACACAGAAAGATGAGGCGAAAGGTACAGTTGCCATGCGGGTTTTTAGTTGGGTGATTTGGCTTGTACTACTGTTTGACTTACAGATACTTACACTATGCAGAGATTTTATTTTCATAAAATCCCATTACAAACTTTTATATCGTTACAGTGTGATTACAAACAAACGTAAACATATTGTACTTTTCAAAGAGTGATATTATCAGGAGTAAGATACTATCCTATATTATCTTACTCCTGATATTATGTAATGCATTCAGAACTTTTGTGAATAATATTTTTCAATTTTTAGCAAAAACCTATGTAGAGTAGCGGTAGTTACAAGAATATGTAAGAAAAAATTGTGGGCATATTTATTAATAGTCAATTTCCTAGTTATAATGCATATGTAAATTATATGGGCAAATTTACCTAAACGAATAGAATATGCCTCCCTTCTGTAATAGCTGGTGTTCTCTGCAGGGTCCTGCAGGCAGAAGAAGCAAGCTACCACGAGACCTGCAGGGCTTGATGGGGGAGGCGAATCTTTGCTTTGCCAGAGGAGAGCATGAAGAAGCCATTAAGATGTGCATGGAGATCATTCGTCTTGGTGCGTACCTGAGTGGGCGTGTGTACGTGCATTCGTAAGTGCGTGTGCATGGAGATCATTCGTCTTGGTGCGTGCATTCGTAAGTGCGTGTGCATGAGCGTGTGTTTGGCTAAGTGTGTGTGTGTGTGTGTGTGTGTGTGTGTGTGTGTGTGTGTGTGTGTGTGTGTGTGTGTGTGTGTGTGTGTGTGTGTGTGTGTGTGTGTGTGTGTGTGTGTGTGTGTGTGTGTGTGTGTGTGTGTGTGTGTGTGTGTGTGTG